CGGCGGCCTGGGCCCCGGGGTCGCGGGCGCCGCTCTCCTGGGCTGCGGGTGCGGAGTCACCACTCTGCCCCGCCTGGGCGCAGGTATCTCGGTGCCACCCGCCCTGGCTCTCGGGCGTCGCGGGGGCAGGGACTGGGCGCGGAGCGAGGCCGGGAGGGACCTGGAAAAACCACCCAGATTGCATTGCAGTGGGCGAGGCTGCCCGGCAGAGCCGGTTCCCCGGAATGGCCCCCCGCGGGGAACTTCGCGCGCGGCTCCCAGGTGCCCGGCTCCGCTGGGCTCGGTGCGGGTCCCCAGCGGGTGGGAAGGCCGGCGCCAGGCCTCGCCGCTGCCGAGAGGGGCTGCGGAAACGTGGCCCTGTCGGGGGCTGGGTGTTGGGAGCCCTCGTTTCTGCAGCCCGTTTGGACCTAGTGAACCTGCCTGCTTAGCAGGCATCTGCGGGAGCCTCCGCCGAAGTAGAATCAGGACTGTCCTAGCTGTCCCGTTTGCCGGCACTGCCTTTCTCCTGCTTTAGGTCGTCGGATCCTTGGGTTCCGATTTTTTTGGGGGGCAGGTAATTTGTCCAACAAGACAGGGGTATTTTTGCTTTGTTCTGGAATACTGTATTCTCAGGGCTTGGAATACAGCCTCACACATACTATGCACTCGACAAATATTTGTTGATTGGCTGTAAGAACACCCACCCATGTGTGCGGCTCTTTGTCTTCCAAGCCGAGGGCAGAGTTCATCGCTGCAAAGGTGAGATCCTCCACCGGAGAGACTACAGGTAATTAAAGGCACAAATGTTTGGAAAGACTAGGTACTAATTCTCCATAAACTTTTATTAAATTAAACTCGTAAAAGGCGAAAACGTCGAAGGCGGAAAATCTGTGTAATACAAGTGAATCGGTTCTGGACGCGAAAAAGTCTTCTAGCTTATCGCCAGCATCAATTTAAAAAGGCGACAGTAAAAATAATCTGGAAGGAGGCGGCGGTTGGGAGGGGCCTGGAGAGTGAGCCTGTTCAACTCCTCCCTTGAGATCACACCTACACCTCCCAAAACAAAGGAGATTTTTTTTTTTTTAAAGTAGGCGGGACCCAACTGCGGAAACAGGATACAAAGTAACTGCCCGGTAGTCTGGAAGTGTTAGGTCCTAAAAGGCGGTTCGGATTAAAGCAGTTGAAGAGGAATGACCCGGGATCTGAAAAAAGTTTTTTTGCTTAAGGGAATTAGTAGAACATTAGGCAAAATTTCAGTAAAGTCTGCAGACCAGATACTAGTATAATATTTGTTCATTTCTCCCCTGTTGTAGTATTACCAGGGTTAGGCAGAGGAGGGCCCCTGTTTTAAGGAAATATCTACCAGGTGTTTAGGGATGAGGAGAAATTGGATGTGTAACTTAAAAGGTTCAAACAGAATTATATACATTTAGAGGGCTTGGGACATATAAAGCTCAGTGTAGGATTCGTCTTGTCCAGCGGGTATACATACAAACACACAGAGTAATAAAGCAGCTATAGTAAAATGTTCACACTACCCGGGCGTGGTGGCACACGCTTGTAATCCTAGCACTTGGGAGGCTGAGGCAAGAAGATCTTTGCGAGTTCGAGACCAGCCTGGGCTACAAAGTGAGCTCAAGGCCATCCTCAACTGCATAGCGAGACCCTGTCTCAAAAAGACGAAAATAAAGTAAAATAAAATGTTCACACTAGAGATTTGGGTAGGGGAAGGACCCCACACACACACACACACACACACACCCCTCCCCCCCTACCTGGGATCTGAAGCCAGAGATTCACCTGTGCTAGACAAGCACTCCACCACAGAGCTACATCCCCAGCCTGCCCGCTCTTTCCTTTCCTTTTCCTTTTCCTTTTCCTTTTCCTTTTCCTTATTCTTTCTTTCTCTCTTCCTGAGACAGGCTCTCCCAAAATTGCCCAGGCTGGCCTTGAACTCCAATCTTCCTGCCTTGGCCTCCCAGATAGCTGGGATTACAGGTGTGTGCTATCTACCACACCCAGCTATGTGATAGGAGTTTTTTATGCAATGCTTTATAACTTTCCTGTAAGTCTAAAATTATTTCACACGGGTATGGTGATGGCGTGCCTATAGTCCAGCACTCAGGAGGGAGGCTGAAGCAGGAGGATCGATAGGAGTTCAAAACCAGCCTGGGCTACATAGTGAGTTCAAGGCCAACCATAGGGGCTGGGGATTTAGCTCAGTGGCACAGCGCCTGCCTAGCAAGCGCAAGGTTGTGAGTTCGATTCCCGGTACTGGAGAAAAACAAAAACAAAAAAAGGCCAACCTAAAGCACACAGTGAGACACTGTCTCAAAAACACCAAAAAAAAAAAAAAAAAAAAAAATTTAAAACCTTTTTTTAGAGTCAGGCATGGTGGCACACACCTGTAATCCCAGCACTGGGGAGGCTGAGGTAAGAGGATTGTTGCAAGTTCGAGGCCAGCCTGAACTGTATAGTGAGACCCTGTCTCAAAAAGACCAAAAAAGAAAAAACAAACAAACAAAAAAAACCTTTTATTCCCCCTGCACCAGCCGTTCTAGTGCTTTAACAAACTCTACATCAACTTCTCTGCTAACCCTTCATACCATAGAATGATTCCATTTTTTTCTTTTCCTTAGTAAACAAAAGAAAAAATTCAAAAGAAAAGAAAAAATTCCCATATTTTTTATAAAAATCTTATGTACTTACAAAACTTCTTTTAACTTTGGGATTGAGCTCAGGGTCTTCATACTGAACTACATCCCCAGCCATTGTTTTGTTTGCTTGCTTGCTTTTTGTTTGTTTGATTTCCTTTTTGATACCAGGAATCAAACTCAGGACCTTGCGCTTGCCAGGCGCAGGCACTTACGCCACTGAGCTATATCCCTGGCCCACTTGCTTGCTTTTGAGCCAGGGTCTTGCTAAGTCTCTAAGTTGTACAGGCTGGATTCAAATTCATGATCCTCTTGCCTCAGCCTCCCAGAATGCTGGGATCACAAGTGTGCACCACTATACCCAGTTCTTAAATAACCTTCCCTATACTAACAGCAGCTCTTTTTGTTTTGGTTTGGCTTTTTGTTTTTTTAAGACACGGTCTAGCCAGGCACGGTGATGCATGCCTGTAATCCGAGCACTCGAGAGGCTGAGGCAGGAGGATCCTTGTGAGTTCAAGGCCAGCCTAGGCTACAGAGTGAGCTCAAGATCAGCCTGAACTGCACAGTGAGACCCTGTCTCAAAAAAAAAGACAAAAAACAAACTAAGACATGGTCTTGCTATGTAGTGCAGGCTGGCCTTGAACTCAGAATAACTAAATAAATCACGATCAACAGTTAAAACTAGGGATAGAGCTCAGTGGTGTAAGCACATGCCTGGCACGCTTGAGGTTGTGAGTTCAATTCCTGGTACCAAAAAAAAAAAAAAAAAGAATAAATAAATCACCATCTGTGATCACTCTGGCATCACAGATTCACACTAATTACTATCTGAACCTTTATTGTCCTAGGCTGGCCTCAAACTCACAGCAAACCTCCTGGCTCAGCCTCCTAAGTGCTGGGATTACAGGCATGTGCCAGTTTGCCCAGATTTGTAATTTAGGTTCTTTGAAATTCTCATTGTAGGGGCTGGGGATTTAGCTCAGCGGCACAGCGCCTACCTGGCAAGCGCAAGGTTGTGAGTTCGATTCCTGGTACCAGAAAAAAAATAAAATAAAAAAAATAAAGTAAAATTCTCATTGTGAATCTTACTTTCCTTAACCAACAGAAAAGAGATATGTCTTCTGGGAGCTGACCACAGTGACACCTCTATGTCATATTCTTATTATTTTGAGACTAAATTGCCCAGGCGGGCCTCAAACTTAGGCCCCTTCTGCCTCAGCCTTCCTAGTAGCTGGCATTACAGATGTGTGCCAGTGTGCCTGACCTACCCGTTGTGTTTGTGTTACATGAAATGCAGTTCCCTTTTGAAGACTACACAGTAGCAACACTGCTTTACTGACATGGATATAGGGTTCGCAGTAGCATGTGCCTAGTTCTCTTGTTCCTAGAAGAGTTCCAAAGTAAATCAAAAGCCCAGGGTGGCACATTTGTAAACCCAACGCCCCCAGAGGCTAAGATAGTAAGAGCTTGGTCAGTCTGAGGCCAGCCTAAGCTATATAGCAAGACCTCGTCTCACAACAACAAAAAAACCAGTGAATCAAAGCCAACACATGGGCTGGGGGTTTAGCTCAGCGGCACAGCCCCTGCCTGGCAAGCGCAAGGTCGTGAGTTCGGTTCCCAGTACCGGAA